AAAAAACGTGAATTGTGACTGGCTGCACAAGTGGTGTAGTAATTTAGGAGGTGGATATACTGTGAAATTACTTACATATACTGTATATCTGGCATAAAATTTGAAAGCATTACTGAAAGTCTGAAACGTCAGTCAGTAAAGCATTTTTTTTTAACAATTTGAACTAAAATGTTATTGCAGCCATAGCCTATGAATGAATGAAAATGCACATTTTAATTAAATAGAACTGCTTTTGCTGCTTGAATTTGTGCTTCAATAATGAGATTCAAGATTAAGAATACACTGGAAGTGAAAGACGTTGTCCCTCAGGTAGACTGCATGTTTTCTTGGCTTTCTGGATGTTTCATCAATAATCATGTTGTTTGCATTCACACAAACTGTTTTGCTGAAATCAAAATATGGACGGTGAAGGGAATCGAGGTCAGCATGAGTCCCGCACTGTGAAGCGGGAGCAACCAGCAGGCAGAGGATTCTTCAAGCCTTCCTCGATTGGCTACATTCACAAATAAAACAATGCTTTGTTAAAAAATAATGATTAATTATCAATTGTGCTAATGTTAGCTAAATTAACATTAAATTTAGATCGTTTAGAAGGCTAGCTAACGTTATCTTGTTACACTATCATTGACTCAAAAGTGCTTTGAGTTGATGTCAGTTTTAAATTTACAAGTAATCAGCAGTTTTACAACATTATTATGGCCTAACTGTTATACTTGCTGTACCCATGTTAGGGTCCTAAAAATACAAGTCCAAAGCTCAGTGTGGGAAAGGATAGTAAAAGGTAATTTATTATTATTATTTTAATATATTATTATTTATTAAATCTCATTTAGATGTGGTGTATTCGTTGTCATATCGGACACAAAAATGGCGGCGAGCATTGCGGTTGTGACGTCTTCAGTACCCATGAATGCGCTGAATACTTGCAAAGATTATGTCGTATTTATAGGCTAAAATTAAAAAAGAGCTCAGTTTTGTAGAGTTGTTACTGAATTTTGAATTCAGCAAAAAGTCGCGTTACACATAATAATGACCTGTCATTGTTTACATTACGAGTCACTTCAGAAAACTCGTGCACATCCCTAGTCCTACTATGTATTATATGTGGTTAGTGTTGTTGTAATGCATAAATATAATAATTAATTTGAAATAACACAATAAATTCATTAAATTATTCTTACTATTTGGGATTTAAGACAAATCTGGGGCTATCCTAACTTTAAGTTATTTACGATGATTTTTAAGAAGATTCTTTTCAAATATTTGAATTCTTCTTAAGTTTTGTCTTAAGAACAATCTTAAGAAAAAATAAATGATCATTCTTAAGTAGAATTTTTGGGAATTAAAAATATTCTTAACTACTTAAGTTAAAAAAATAAGAAGAAAATGGCAGTTAAGAAAACTTTTTTTCTTAAGAGTGTTTGGTTGTATCTGGCCCCAGCAGGTTTGTAACAATTTGGAAACTTAAGTATTTATAAAGCTCTCTCATTTACATTTATAACTTCATGTATTTAGAATGCACATTCTTTGTCTGTTCCACACTGAGATTATATCCTCTGTCTGTTGTCTTTCAGACAATATCTGTGTCTGTATCAGTTCTGACACTGAGCTGCATTGCCCAAGATCGCTGGTATGCTATCTGCCACCCCCTGAAGTTCAAGAGTACTGCCAAAAGAGCCCGCAAGAGTATCGTTCTGATCTGGCTGGTTTCCTGCGTGATCATGATTCCACAAGCCGTAGTCATGGAATGCAGCAGTCTGCTCCCAGAGCTCACCAACAAAACCAGCCTGTTCACCGTGTGTGATGAACAGTGGGCAGGTAACAGATCCTTTTATTGCTGAAACCTCTCCTATCAAGGCACAGTGGGGCTATATACCATTTTAGACAGGCCATTTATTTTTGCAGTGTGAGTGTAGAGAGATAGTAAGGTTCAAGCACTTATCGACGGCAACCTGTAGAACACAGTTTGTGGCTGAAATTGTTTTCAAAATTTCAGGCTGTTAAAATAAGATAAATCAAAGATTTTGAGAAAAAATTTGTTAAACAACATGTATAAACTCTTAATGTTTTGAGAATATTCCCAGATTTTTCAGAATAATCCCCTTTTATAAGAATAAACTCATAACATTATGGGCCCTATTTTAACATTCTAAGCTCATGGTCTAAAGCACACAGCGCAGGTGCACTTAGGGCGTGTCCAAATCCACTTTTGCTAGTTTAACGACGGGTCGGCGCCTAGGCGCATGGTCTAATGCCAGGTTCAGACTACACAATATTTTTGTCGGTCACGATAGTCACTGTGTCAAAATCAGATTACACGATTTTGACTCCTAAAATCTTGTCGTGTCGTGGACAAGAAACATGTCAGACTACACGTTGCTTCCCGACCATTCATCGTGTGCCGTCTTTAACGACGCGCGTGATGTCATCGAGAAGGCGGAACTAGCGACTGACTTCCGAAAACAAGAGTGTAAACACTGCTGAAGCGCTTCCGCTATAGTTCGCCAGCATTTTTCTTTCTTTGTTCTGTCGTGGTAGTCCCTCGATGACACATCATACAGGCAGGAGTACTGTTGCCACAGCTCCATGAACCTTTCCTCCATCTCATAATTCCATCATCTCTCTTTCGTTTCACCATGGTTGAAACCTGTGTATGAAAGAGCTTCTGTGCTGCTATTGGTCAACATCACCAATGTGACAGAACTCGTCGTGGATGACGGAAAAAAAATTAAACACGCTAGTCTTTCTGTCGTGATGTCGTGAAGCATCGCAGATGCGGAATCGGTTGTCGTCCACTATGACTCACTACACGTGCTGAAACGATGGAATCTTGTGTCCCGACGCCCATTGTTGTTTACGAATCCCCACGGCACACTAGGTCAAGCAAATCGTGGCAAAATCAAGCTAAAATCATGTAGTCTGAACCGAGCATAAAAGGGTTGTCCCTATTCTCTTAATGTGTAATGGGTGTGCTTTGGGCATAACATACAATAAACCAATCAGAGTCTCATCTCCCATTCCCTTTAAGAGCCAGTTGCGCTCATGCCATGGCGGATTTGCTATTTACACGGCGAAATTTGCAAGTGTGTCCAGAGATGAAACGGAGCTGCTCGTGCCGAGCAAATAGGTAGCCTAATTCTAATACAAGCAATGACTATCCATTATGACATGTAGGCATTTTTATATTTATGTAGCCTACACAATAATAATCTTTTACATTGCAATCCTTTAATTTTTAATATTTGGCATGTTTGTGTGCTGCTGTGCGTCCCTGTGTGTGTAATAAGCAGAGTGTATGCGCGCTGTGGACCTGCCTATACTAACGCGCTCTTTAAATAACAAAAAAACTACTGCGACTTTATTTAAACAACGTGTCGCAGGATGTGAAAATGACAACTGCGTCAGGCTGAAACTAGCAAAAAATACTTAAAGCCTTGCGCCGCATTGTGCCGGGTGTATGATAGGGCCAATAATCTCATAGGGCCCTATCATACACCGGGCGCAATGCGGCGCCAGGCACGAATGCATTTGCGCCCATTTGTGCGCAAAAAGAGGTGTGTCAAGACACATTGTTGGCGCGTTGCTATTTTGAGGAACTGAAAATAGACTGCGCCATAGACCAACTCAAACCTGGTCTAAAGTCTGCCACAATATTTTTTCTTTGTTATTTAAAGAGCACGTTAGTAATATGCGCCTATAGGCGGGTGCACAACGCACGTACACTTTGCTTATTACACACACAGGGACGCGCAGCAGCACACAAAGATTTTTAAAAATGAAAAATTTAATTCTGTCATGTAAATATCGAACCCGCCATGGCGCGAGCACAGCTGGCTTTTAAAGGGGATGGGAGATGAGACTCTGATTGGTTTATTGCACGTTACTCCCAAAAACACCCATTACTCATTAAGAGAATAGGGACAACCCGTTTAGACCATGCGCCCGGGCGCGCCGACTGTTCCCCCTCGAGGGAACTCACACTGCGTCGGTAACGACACTAGGGGACCCCCCTCAGCGTAGTATAATTACACTGCATATTTGCTACAGTTACTTCTGGCAGTTAATATACATCATATAACTAATTATGATATAAATTATAAGTAATTATGAATGTTCCCCCTCGAGGGAACTCACACTGCGTCGGTAATGACACTAGGGGGGAACCCCCTCAGCGTAGCGCGTCTGAAGCATGAATGAAACTATTCCAATCCTGATTGGTGTTGCGTCATGACGTAACATGTGACGGCATAGTCGGAAGCTACAAAGGGACGCCGGCAAACAACAGAGTCAGCTTTTTGCTCTTCAGCAAGCGCTCTGTGTCATTGTATGTCTTATTTGGTGTTGTTTGTCACAAGAATAGATTATCATGGTGAGTGGACAGTTTAAGCGGTGTGTTCATCCCTGCCCGAGGTTTTTAACTGGTGGGGACACACATCAGCTGTGTGTTTATTGTTTGGGAGCGCAGCACGCACGGACAGCTCTCGAGGGAGCTGCCTGTGCAGA